AAAGTTAAAATACAGATAGCTGTCCTGTCCAATTTACAAAACAGATCAACACTCACAGTCCCAAAAGATGTATGGCACAGTTTCATGTTATGCGTTGTTCCACAATGGAGAACTTTATGACACTAAATTGACTAATTCCTGGAAAGTCTGGCTAAGAAACTGAGTGTATATATTTACACACACACACATTTACATACAGATACACAACTGTGCATGACCTGAAGATTTAAATACTCAGATATAATTTTTTTTTTTTTTAGAATCCCTACTGGGAAGAGTTTAAGTTCTTCCCTTTTAATCTTGAAGTAAACACAAATACTTAAAAGAATTCCCTTTTATCAAAGATACTCTTTTTTTTAAAAATTGGGCAGGCGGAGGAAATGTTGATTCTGAGTATGTAGGCCATGCCCTATTCTAATCACTTTCCTCATTTTGGTCAACTGCTGAATTAACACCAAAAGCCACTTCCAAAATGCAAAAAATGGTCACTCTACCTGCCAAGTGTTTATCCCATTTCACACTCAGCAATTTACCAGGCTTAGTGTCAAGGGTTTATGTCCTCTTCGGCTACAGATTTCCAACCAACATAGTCTATTTCTGTGGTAGGCAGCACTCTAAAATGTATGACAGGAGTCTTAAGTCTATGTCCCTAAATAACTAGGAGGCTGTCCATATAGTACTCATTTGGAGTTTGGACTAGATCCTTGGTTCTCAAAATGTGGGTGCTGGAACATTACCATCACCTGGAAACTAATTAGAAAAAAAAAGTTATGAGATCATATCCAGACATACCGAATAAGAAACTAATACCTGTTTCCACCTCCAGGTAATTTTGATACATGATCAAGTTTGAGAACCTCTGGACTAGAGATGAACCCTAAAGCCTTCTCAAACTACCAAAATCCTATTGTTATTAGCTCAAACATATCTTCTAGAACTAGCACTATGTTCAATTAAGTGCTTTCAATTACTCCTAGTAGCCTGAGTAATACATAATCAAGAATACCACACTCTATTAGTAGCATTTAAAAATTTGACACATTTTTCACTAGGACAAAAGTCCTGGTAGCAAACTTTTCCCAATTAAGTAGACACTGTGACAAATGTTTGGTGTCATTTTAACTAAGAGTGGTGATCTCCAAAATCAAATGTTTCCTTCATACTCCAGATGTTGTGAAAAATGCATTCTTTAATGACAGTTAAGGTACAGGTATTTTGTATGTATTTCTCAAGACCAGCTGCTACATATGGTGTTCTCTCACTTTGCCATCCCACCTATAAAAAATACTGGGTATTTTAAAGGGGTGCAATCAGATGATGGTGGAAACATTTACAAAACTACCTGAACAGTTCAAATAGATGAGGCATTTTAGGATTCCCACCTACAGAAAAGGTTAACTAATCGGGGAGCATAAAGCCTCATACATGTAAATTCTAACCCAGACATGTCTTTTCCTGAAATGTGATTCAGTCTATTTCAACAGTTAACACGGAAATTATTTTACCTAAGAACCATAACTCCCAAACATAAAAATGTTAAGACTTAGGAAGTTACCTTCAGCTTTTCTGAGGCTATTACAAAAGGAGTACTCAAATAATCCTTTGACATAACATAAAGCCTGGTTGACAGCCAGGGACCAAAAGGAAAAGCTGTTAAAAAAACAGCAGGGGTCAAGTTTAAGTTAACTTTTGCTCCCAAGATAAAGGTTCCTTTCTCACCCAGTATCTGTTTTGACAGGTGATTGCCTTATAGCAAACTGCTCCTCCCTCCCTCCCTCCCTTCCTTTTAACACCCAAGTCAGCCCAACTTTTTCAAGGAAACAAATGCTCTTATCTCTTCACACCCTAATACTAAGAGGTTCTTACTAGCCAAATAAACTGACTGACTCTTAAAAACAATGTCCCTCACTTCTCTCAATTTTGTCAAGGACATAATGGAGAAGGCTGCCAAACCCAACTACTATTTTCCTCCTCTAAGAAATACACACCGAATTGTTTTCATTGAGAATCCAAAAAGCATTTATTTTACAGTACTCAGCAAAAGCGTATTAAATTCTTCTGCTCTGCCATCCTAGACCTATTAAGAATTTAGTCATGCAAGTGACTAAATCCTATGTGGAGATGATTAATGCACCAACAACCTATTTCTTTTCCAATTTTCCATTTTTAAGCGTTCCCTGTCAGGAGTATATACATTTCTCAAGTTAGACAGTTGGCACCATTTTAGGTCAAAAGGCTTCCAAAATACAAAACTAAAGAAAACCATAAAACTAAAAAGTCCACAGATGCCATTTTAAAAATATCCTTCATAATACTTGATAAGTCTTCAGAATTTTCAACACTTTAGATCTACTGAAGCAACTCAATTTACCCAAATACAAGAAGGAATCTTTGCAAAGGCATACATTTGAGTAGTTTCTCTTAATTTCTCTACTTAGAATATATTTAGTACCTTCTAATTGACTTTAATAGTAAACTTAAGTGAGATCGAGAATGAGAAAAAAATGGCCATAGGACCACCACAGGTAAAATGTCTATTCTTCCTCCACCCTGGAATACTGGGATGTCTCCTGGGCAAAGGACACATTTTAAGGCAAGATATGTTAATACTGTTTAAAGAAACCTGTGGCCTGTAATTTGTTTTGGCTTCCTCCACAGAGTAAATCCCTTTGTCCAAAGACCCTTGAGAAAACTTCATCTACACTCACAGACTTACGGTATATCAAATGCTCTTGGTATATAGCCACAAACCTTTTATTCTAAAGAGGTTATATTAGTAAAGTGGCCCTTGGGGAAAATAAAACAGAAAAAGCTCACACTGCCTCCTACTGTTAGCAGGAAAATTTCATGAGGTCAAAATGGCCCATGATCTGTAATGAGAGCCAGGGGTTTTTGTCTTAGTTTTTTCTGTTTTCTTTGTAAATCTAAAGAGCTATTTCCAAATCAAAACCTCAGGAGTTGAAATGCTGTCTACAGCCTATACAAATCACTGCAGAAATGCTAGTAGGTATGACTTCGGAATGGAAATCATCTTCCCCAAACATCCTTTTGACTTGGTGTGTATGTGACCTAATTTAAACTACACAAATGAGAAAATGCTAACCCTGCCTGGTCAGGTAGATGGTTACTTTCCCAGATTTAAGGCAGTACTAGCAGTTGGCTTCTCCCTTCCCTACCTACTGTGAGGTGAGGTAAACTGCTCCATGCTAGGTGAAGAGTCAATAATCTTGTAGTCAGATGATATGGCCATACCCTAGGGCTTCCTAGACCATGGTGATTTTCCCCATATTTAAGAAGTTGGGAGTGATGTCACTCAACTTGCCACTGAAATACTTCTGTCTTCAAAATTTGACCACCAACTCTTGGGGACATCAGGCACCACCAATCACCTGCACCTGTCCACCTTAGCCATGCTACTGTATTAAATCACTGAATATGAAACACAGAAACACAAACAATAGTTTTGGGTTTGTTTCTTTAAAAATGACATTTGTATTAAAAGTCTTAAAATGAAGAGACAATGATTAAAACACGTGTGTCTGGAATTAAAAATTACAATTGGTTAGAATTCTCTTGGTACATCACAACAGTAAAATTTTGCTCTTTGCTTCTGAAGGAAGACCCTATTAACAGATAACCAAAAAAAATATTTTAAAATAATATAAAAGGGGAGCTAAATACCTGAACATTTGAACAAAACGAAGGGAAAAAAAGTAAAAAAAAAAATTGCAAGACATGGAAATTACATTTTAAAGGCGGGAAATAATAAAGAAGAAATTCACAGAACAACAGGCCCTATTGTCCTGGCTCCTTCGGATGATTACTGAAAGGAAACTGGGAAGTGGTTTGGGGAAATAGCAGATTCTGGGGTAGGGTGGGAAGTTCACAGGTTGGCACCGGCTGGAACAGCTGAGTTTTGAAGGCACTCTGCAGACACAGGGGTGCTGGGGGCCCTGAATCACATTTGTTAAGTCTTTGTACTGTATTTTAAAGAGCTACTCATCAAAATCCGTTACTGCCAACCAATAAGAATAAAAAGCTAAACTTTAAAAAAAAAACACACAAAAACCACACACGCACACACACAATAGTACATACACAAAATGTGCAGATCTGTAACATTTTTTTCACAGCTGATAAAAAAAAATACTACCGTTTTTCCCCAGACTCCCCTTAGATACAGTAGGTAAACAAAATAGATTTTTTTTCCCCCCACAAATATCAGCAGACACTTTCTGGCACCCCACACTGTATTGGCATCAGTGTTAACAGTCCCAGTTCAGATGTGCAATACTTCAGATTGGATACACTGAAACAAGAATCCAACTTTGCATAGACATCCTCAGAATCGCAATCAGTCACGGGGTTGCCCTTCCAAGCTGGCAGAAAAGGAACCCGATCATAATTTCCAGCTACTCCTGGAAGAAAAAAAAAAAAAAAAGGAAAAAACAAAAGTTTCTTCCTCTCCTCCTGCTCCTTCATTTGGTTCTCCCGGACTTCCTTCCATGTATTTAAAACTTGGAACTAGAAAACGGTGGTTGCAAGAAAAACAAAAAACACCCCCCTCCCTTCTTTCCACCTTCTCCCTGTCCTCTTCCTCCCCCACCCCGTTTTTTTTTCTTTTTTTTTTTTTCCAGGCTGAAACTTTCGCTCGCTGGTGTCAAGCCGCCAAGACAGCACCCTGAACGGTTACTGAAAGGGGGGAAATAGGCGTCAACCAAAAATCAATGAGAAACGTACATGATGCAAAGAACCACAATTCCACTGGGTCTCAAGATGGTCAGGACCGGTCACCCCTCCGGACGCGGGGAGGAGGCGGGGGACGTGGGCCGCAGAGGCCAGCCGGGATCCCGGGACAGCCCGGGCAAGGCAAAGTCGTCTCCAATCTCAAAGCAAGAAGAGGAATCACATGGAGAGAGTGGGGTGCGTTTGGCTTTTGTGCGCAGAGCGCGGCCGGCACGGCGGCCGCG